ACCAGTTACCAATGACGAAGATCGATGACTGCCTACTGCTGCTTGAACAACTTCATCAATACAAGCTGCGCATTTGTCTGTTGTTGCGCTTTATGAGAGACACTGCAGAAGAGTTCGTATCTGAACGTATGAGAGGGTAAAAGCTCTGGGCATGCCTCGGCTGTTTTCCAGTTTGACACAGTACGAACGTTAAAACATCCTATGTAAAAAGAATCTTGTGGATTTATCGTCTTTATTTTGTTTATTTGAACGACAGCGGGTTGGATAAGGCGCATTTGTTAGACAACTGACAGGCAAGTGATCCTGGGATTTTTGACCGTAGGGTAGAAAGGGAATGGAATTGACACCGGTGAACCAAAAGCTGTGCTGGCAAGTGGTACTGTCTGGTTTCCTTGATCGTGGAATGGAGTTAAGTTGAGGTGAAGCATTGTATGGCAGTGAAGTGTCAGTGCCATCACTGTTGTTGCTGTCTTTGATGGTGATGATGATGATGAGTGCTGTCTGTCCTACTTTCGACTCAACCACTGGACATTGTCAAAATCGCTAGTTATGGCCGATGTCAGGAAATCCTACCAGCAGGCAACAAATACGACTGCGCACGCAAGTTCCTTAAACGTTAAGTGATGAGGAGGCTAAGGAAATACCGAGAGCTTCGGTGAACGTTGATACCTCAGGATATTCAGAGGGCTATCGCTACTCGGAGCAGCATTGCCCCATACCAATTAACAAGACTGACTGGCCAGAGGGAAGCGAAGATAAAGAAATGATAAGTGAAGAAGGAGGTTCATCATTTCACTCGCAAAAGCACCGACTAGAAAACTGGGCCGAGGGCCTTGAAGTACAGTTTAACTGGCCTCAGAGCCTCCTGAGACAATACTTACAGGTGAGTAGAACGTGAACCTTAATCGCCCGGTAGTAGAAATAAAGTACAAACGTGAAAGGCACCAAGACAGGACCGATTGAGGTAGTAGACAAATTTGTTTACCTAGGCAGCTGTATCAGTCCCGGTGGTCTGGTGAAAGATGATATTTCCATTCGGATTGGGAAGGCCAGAGCAGCTTTTGCGAACCTACATCACCTGTGGCGTAGGCGTGATATCAGTTTCTCTGTCAATGGTCGAGTTTACAATGCTGCAGTGCGCTCCATATTACTACATGGATCAGAAACCTGGCCGCTGCGCGCTGAGGACGTCAAAAGACTTTCGGTGTTTGACCATCGATGTCTTCGGAGCATTGACCGAATCTGGTGGGAACACCGGATCAGCACTTCTGAAGTACGTCGAATGGTATTCGGGGAAATAACTCACCCTCGATAGATGAACTGATCACACTGCATAGGTTGCGTTGGCTTGGCCATGTGCTGCACATTCTAGTCGACCGACTTCCTCGAAGGGCTCTTTTCGCACAACCACTTGAAGGGTGGAAGAGAGTCAAACAATGACTTGGCAGCGAAGTGTGAAGACCATTACCAGAAAACTCACCTGCGCCGGTCATTGCCGTCTTCCTGGATGGGGACTCTGAGACGGGCCACATCAATGGTTAGAGACATTGTCAGACGTGGCCCGGTCTCACCCTCAAAAGCGCTCATGCATCCTAGTTATTGCCTTCAATGCATAGCTCCCTTCCCAACCCCCCACTTAATAATCCACCTACAGTCCTCTATTTACGGACTAATTTATCAGCTGCCGCCTCCAATGCACGGCTCACTACCCCACCTACCGAAATCCTCGGCGAACGAAACTGTGGCAGCTACAACCACTGCGACAAGTATGCGGTTATTACAGCTGACAATGATGATGATGATAATTGATTCTGCTTACCGTCGGGTGCGCTGGCTGTGTCTGTGGAGCAGAGATGGTCTGTGGGAAGCCATCTGCTCAGTTCATTGAATTAAGTGGGGTTAGCCAATGTTGCTCTTACTCACCCTTCCTCTTCAAATTCGCCAATGGTATGAACATGTAAATATCACTTCGAGCCTGTAACGCCTATGAGGTCTAATTGGTCCCAGAGGACCCCGAGATGGGACACATCAGTGGTTAAAGATGTCAGATGTTTCCCAATCGCACGATTAGTGGAAGCTGTTGCCAAGCCGTTTTCCAAGCTGTTGCCTCCAGTGCACAGCTTGCTCTCCCGATCTTCCCAATGAAAAGTTCACTGACACTCCTGTATTGACTCACCCACTCTTTCTCTTCTCTTCACTGTAGGGCTTTTAATACAATTATATATATATATATATATATAACAACACTGATGTTGCTGTCTTTGATGGTGATGATGATGATGAGTGCTGTCTGTCCTACTTTCGACTCAACCACTGGACATTGTCAAAATCGCTAGTTATGGCCGATGTCAGGAAATCCTACCAGCAGGCAACAAATACGACTGCGCACGCAAGTTCCTTAAACGTTAAGTGATGAGGAGGCTAAGGAAATACCGAGAGCTTCGGTGAACGTTGATACCTCAGGATATTCAGAGGGCTATCGCTACTCGGAGCAGCATTGCCCCATACCAATTAACAAGACTGACTGGCCAGAGGGAAGCGAAGATAAAGAAATGATAAGTGAAGAAGGAGGTTCATCATTTCACTCGCAAAAGCACCGACTAGAAAACTGGGCCGAGGGCCTTGAAGTACAGTTTAACTGGCCTCAGAGCCTCCTGAGACAATACTTACAGGTGAGTAGAACGTGAACCTTAATCGCCCGGTAGTAGAAATAAAGTACAAACGTGAAAGGCACCAAGACAGGACCGATTGAGGTAGTAGACAAATTTGTTTACCTAGGCAGCTGTATCAGTCCCGGTGGTCTGGTGAAAGATGATATTTCCATGCGGATTGGGAAGGCCAGAGCAGCTTTTGCGAACCTACATCACCTGTGGCGTAGGCGTGATATCAGTTTCTCTGTCAATGGTCGAGTTTACAATGCTGCAGTGCGCTCCATATTACTACATGGATCAGAAACCTGGCCGCTGCGCGCTGAGGACGTCAAAAGACTTTCGGTGTTTGACCATCGATGTCTTCGGAGCATTGACCGAATCTGGTGGGAACACCGGATCAGCACTTCTGAAGTACGTCGAATGGTATTCGGGGAAATAACTCACCCTCGATAGATGAACTGATCACACTGCATAGGTTGCGTTGGCTTGGCCATGTGCTGCACATTCTAGTCGACCGACTTCCTCGAAGGGCTCTTTTCGCACAACCACTTGAAGGGTGGAAGAGAGTCAAACAATGACTTGGCAGCGAAGTGTGAAGACCATTACCAGAAAACTCACCTGCGCCGGTCATTGCCGTCTTCCTGGATGGGGACTCTGAGACGGGCCACATCAATGGTTAGAGACATTGTCAGACGTGGCCCGGTCTCACCCTCAAAAGCGCTCATGCATCCTAGTTATTGCCTTCAATGCATAGCTCCCTTCCCAACCCCCCACTTAATAATCCACCTACAGTCCTCTATTTACGGACTAATTTATCAGCTGCCCCCTCCAATGCACGGCTCACTACCCCACCTACCGAAATCCTCGGCGAACGAAACTGTGGCAGCTACAACCACTGCGACAAGTATGCGGTTATTACAGCTGACAATGATGATGATGATAATTGATTCTGCTTACCGTCGGGTGCGCTGGCTGTGTCTGTGGAGCAGAGATGGTCTGTGGGAAGCCATCTGCTCAGTTCATTGAATTAAGTGGGGTTAGCCAATGTTGCTCTTACTCACCCTTCCTCTTCAAATTCGCCAATGGTATGAACATGTAAATATCACTTCGAGCCTGTAACGCCTATGAGGTCTAATTGGTCCCAGAGGACCCCGAGATGGGACACATCAGTGGTTAAAGATGTCAGATGTTTCCCAATCGCACGATTAGTGGAAGCTGTTGCCAAGCCGTTTTCCAAGCTGTTGCCTCCAGTGCACAGCTTGCTCTCCCGATCTTCCCAATGAAAAGTTCACTGACACTCCTGTATTGACAGGACTGACAGCTGCCGCCTTCAATGCGTAGCTATCTACGTGTATCTCCCCAGATCATCGGCGAATGAAACTGTGGTAGCTACAACCATTGTACAACAAGTACGTGATGGTGGTGTGGTTATGATAATAATGATGAAAGTATTCGCTCGAGTATATCAAGTCTCCTTAACAAGTACGCGGTTTTCACAGCTGAAAATGATTATGGGGACATGCACAAAGTTTGCTATTGAAGAGAATGTAGCTCACGTAGTGTAGGTGGTCGTTAGTGTGTTCGCTGAGCTGGGCATTTTTTGTTACAAACGTTTCATCACCATTATGATCCCTAACAGCGCACTGATGATGTCACCCCGATTCGTGATGAAATTTCTTCGATCGAATAGCCAAACTCAGAACAAACCAAAGACCAGGCACAAGGTTTTTGGTTATATTTAAAGCACTGAGGCGCAAAATAGGACGAAGAGGGTGAAGGAGGGATCTGGTTCTGGCTTACTGTAAGGATTTTGAGTTGTCTACATCTCCGTGCGCTTAATCAGACAGCATGATGAGAAACTGATAACGTGAACGCTATTGACATCAATTAGCTGCCATTTCTGGCAGTATATCCAGATTTGTGCACGGGAAGGGGGTTGCTCTATATTGGAAGACAAACCGCACCGAAAACACCCAAATCCTTAACAATCTCTTACCCCATCTGCCGTTCCACGCATCCATTTTGGAGTTCACGCCGTTCTGAAGGAGGTACTTAGTGCGACACTCCTCTCGGTAGTCGATGTTTCGGAATGCATAACATATGCCCAGTCGCCGCAGCTGGTGGGGCTGCACATGTTCCGCGACCGAAGTACCTGCTGCATCACTTCCTAAAGTTTTGTTCGACTTTGTTCTCTAGGCCGTTCTGTCTAGTACCGGATTCTTTCATGGTTTAAAATGATTGTTCCATTAAACTTACTTGAAGCTTACCCCACTGCGAAACATGAGGTTCTCGGGATTCCGAACTCCATTCTTGAGTTGATGGTAAACAGTTTGTTTTAGGGCGTGAGTTTTGTTTACTCGTCTCAACTGGTCCAATCAGTGGAGCTGTCCTCTAACCAGACTGCATTCAGCTCCATCAATGCTTGCTCTTCGAAATGCTTTGGTATTGGAGATTCCATCCATCTGTGTACAACGCAAGTTAAATCGATCAACAGCCCTCAGCATGTCTGTATAGTGCTGTTGTACGTTATTGGGAACTGGCTTATACACGGCAATCCTGATATATATGCAAATCTGACGCTTACTTCAGTTAGGTTTCTCAAGGTATCCAAACGTCCTGCCGACCTTTGTAATGCAGATGCCAAACCTGTGAATATTGTTCTGCCAAGATAGCCGACGTTCATACAGCACCTAGCCATTTTCCCGAATACATAGTGTTTTATTTTGAGCGATCGGGACGGTCCTGTAAAGGACAAGTGTCTTGGGAATATTTCTATTTACGCCTAAGTGAGATACCGCTGGTCTAAGGACCATGATCAGCCTCTAATTCTGCTTCCGAATGCGAACATAGGGTGCAAACTTCCGCAAATGGTAGTGCGGACACTAGAATCATACAACAGTGTTGGCTACGAGTCCATACGTGGAATTTACTCTTCGGACTGTTCGCCTTGGCCAATCCTGAACTGGTCAGTCTCAAAGTATACAGGTTTGACCTCGTGAGACTATGCTTTTTTAAATCTTAACCGCATCATTGTCTATGTCCATATCTCACTATTCACATCCAATTCGCTTCCTAGAGCTCTACTGAAGTGGCGTAAACATATATTGGCCGCCTTGGATGACAAGTCAAAAAGGTAAGTTCCCATTGTTCGGTCATCCCGATCATTTGTGTTTCATTTGTCTCCTCAGCTCACGGGCTTTTTGATGGTTCGCTACCACTGAACTAAGCAACGCTCAGTTTGTGCCACCCGGGTGAAATACATTCACCAACATTTTCTGTTACTTTCGTATGTTTCTTGTCTCTAAGTGCCGCACTGTTTACGCCTTGGATGAGGGTACCAGTATTTGTGGTCGGATGGTCGCTTATCTCTTTTTCATTTCTATGCCTTTGGATGCAGTGATAAACAGTCTCTTTCATGATATGGGCATCAGGATTATGGCTAGCCGTGCAGGTCTACACAGATCGTAGGTTGCGAACAAGCGCTGAACGGTTGGTAGTTTGCGCTTGATTACATGAGGCAAACGCGCAATGGTTTTGGGCATGGCAACTCTCTTTAATTATCTTATTAATGTAGTTATCAAGGTCTAGATGGCTTAGTGGTTAGAGTGCGAATTTACTGACCGGAAGATCCGTGGTTCGAACCTGACTTCTACCTCTGGACTTCCCCTGTCTAGGCTCGGGCAACCTGGCAATATCCCATCTCGTGCTTCCTTCTGGTTGCATGGCGGTTAGGCCCCGAAATAGTGCTAAGGCGAATTCAGTGCGTATGTACTACTCTTATGTGAGATTCTTCAGATTGTTGAGTATTTTTTTTATGAAGATTTACTGGTGGGCTTGCACGTTCCATCTTTGATTTGGTGGTTGTTCTGGTTTTCAGCTCGGATACGGTGCAACAAGACAAGGCTGCCGAGAACAGCGAAGTCAAGGAAGATGAGGATCTAGAAGTTGAAGAGGAGGTTCAGCGTCTGATCCACGAAGAGGAGAAGCAAAAGAAAAAGTCAGTAATTCAAAAATAACTCATGTTTTTAGTACGAATTTATGAAGCCGAAATTCTCGGACATGTCACTCTGTTTCCAGTCTGACATCAGCGACCTGTCCAAATAACTTCCCGTCTGCATTTTTTCAGGCGCCTGAAGCGTGTCCGGAAGGCTAAAATGAAGCTGGCTGAACGTCTAGTATTGAAGATGGAGCATCAAGGTGACCACATAGAACAGGTGGATGACGAACTTTTTTCCCTTTCTACACTGCACGATTTCGTGGGATTGGAAGAGGCCAGGAAATTGATTGGAGATACCAGTATGACCGGCGCGGATGACATGGCTCGTGATGAGATGAAGAAGGCGTTAAAAGAAATCCGAAATCGTAGAGAAGAAGCGCGTCGATCGGCCGTGGAGGGTGGAACGAAGGTTCACTTTTNAAGAAGGCGTTAAAAGAAATCCGAAATCGTAGAGAAGAAGAGCGTCGATCGGCCGTTGAGGGTGGAACGAAGGTTCACTTTTCAAAACGGGGTGACGATGCAGACAAACCTGACTATGATAGTCAACAGACATCTGGTGAGTTCTCATACCTATGCTGTACAATACTATATGGTCTACTATAACTCCCCGTTGGAGTCGATGAACGAAATATGTTATTGATCAGGCGACCTTCGGTCTGCTCACCGAGGTCGGCAGTTAGGTTGGAAATACTTAAGCTTGCAAATAAGCAACAAACTAACCCGAGGTAACAATTTCTCGATACGTTTCCTTTAACAGAATTGCTTTTCTCCGGTATTTAGCGTCGGAATTGTAGTCTATCACTCAGCACAATGGGTTGCTTTTTTGCGAAGACACTACTCTTGGTAAACACAGAACTCGCATTCCGTGGATTATACTGGACATGCTTTGCACGTCATATGATTGCCTAATTCCTAAGGCCCCTTTCAACCAGGTGCACACAGAGCGTAAACGACCTTGTAACGAAGTACGAATTCGTTAGACCCAGTTGTGTTAGTACTTATCCTCTTCTCGTAACGAAGACCTCAGGATCTGGCACGGAAACCGAAGAAGAATATCTGGGTATGCACAGGGAGAATGTGTTGTCATGGTACGTGTGTAGATGGAACTGTCGCAGTACAATCACACTGAACTGGTGTTTGGTTTATGTTGCACAACAGATGTCTTTTGAACCAACGGTGACATTCTTCAGAAAAACGCGAACGTATGTTTGTGTGTCTATCAAGTGGAACCTATTTTTCTGGCTAGTCCGCTGTGTGGGTAGTCGATTTTTTCGGCCGACAGGTGGTAAATTTAGAACTGTAAAACTCTATACTAGCTTGAAAGGATCGGTCCAAGTGAATCTCTTCTGGTAGCTGGTTTCCCTTGGTGGGGACCAGTCAACTTTATATATGATTTTTTGACGTGTCTACTGACTCATGAAAGTGGAGTGACGCAAATGTTAATCCGTTTGTTTAGCTAGGCTATACCACTCCGCACATGGTTTATAAATAAAAAGAGCGTTTGCGGCTATTGCATTCTTTGACGAGACAGTTATACAGGCCCTACAAAAACCTCGAGTTTCGAGTTCTTTGAGAGTCGACAAATTCTGGATACACAGACAGGTAACTTTTCCTTAGGGTTTCTACACACTGTTCCTGTCACCGTTAAATCACTGTCTATTCCTTTTTCCTTCGGGTAACAGGCAACACGTATCGCGATGACCTTTACCTGAGTTCGGATGAAGAAGACGAAGGTATAGAAAATGACGGAGATACACAGGAGGACGAAAACGAATCTGATGCGGAAGACGTAGATCTGGATCTCTACAGTGAAGAGGAAGATGACGCGGAGCTACGCGGCCCAAATTCCAAGCGAGCACGCTTTGCCGAGCCCATCACAAGACCGTCTGAGTCAAAAAGGACATCTTTGCCACATATGGACGGTTTTAACGCAATCGCTAAGCCTCGGAATCCACTCCTAGTTGATCTAGACGATGCACCGGAAAAAATCAAACAAAAGCGCAAGATTGAATCCTGGTTGGATTCGGAGGAAATGAAGGTTTGTAATCCACATCAACTGTAAATTCTCATTCATTGCTTCAAAGCCGAGGTTTTTGCCCCACAAGGCATCTGAGTGGTTCATGTGTCAACTGCTACTGCCTACTTTTACGTCACACTGCTTTAGTTTGGCCAGTGAAGTAAAATTAACCGATAGGCTTGTAGCCTGGTAGGATGAATGAAATAATCCAAACTACTTTCTTCGCATAAATTGAGTTTTAGTTGAGCGTTTTGTCGTATGGGTTTTCTGTTCGAAGAGGACAATAACAGTATGCAGGGGGATAGCTGTCTCATGTAGTACTTTGTCTTCCAGTCTGTGTTCTCGATATTGGTGCCCACAGGAGCAAAGCATCTATCTCAGGTAATTTCTAGAGAGCTTACTGTCCCAAAAATTGCAACAAGCAACTTACCCCTGTTTGTTTGCTTACCCGGATGCTATATGGTCTTATTCTTTGGGCTCTAAATCACTGAACAACCCTATTTACGTAACTCTCCAGGACAATATTGTTTATAGGTAAACATGTTCGAATGTGAGGTAATGTCATTCCTCGAGCAGCCTGTTGGACCACATTCACTTGGTTACGTCATCATCATCATCATTGTCAGCTGTAAGAACCGCGTACTCGTCGCACACTGGTTGTAGCTGCCGCAGTTTCGTTCACCGATGATTTGGGGGGGGGGTAGGTAGCTGCGCATTGCACGCGCGAGCTGGTAAATTGGTGCATGAATCCAGCACTGTCAGCGGGCTGTCAAGTGGGGGGAGTTGGAAAAGGAGCTATGTATTGAAGGCAATAGCTTGGATGCACGAGCGCCATTGAGGGCGCGACTGGGCCATGTCTGATAATGTCTCTAGCCATTGATGTGGCCCGTCTCGGGGTCCCCATCCAGGAAGACGGCAGTGACCAGCGCAGCTGAGTTTGCTGGTAATGGCTTTCATACTTCGCTGCCAAGTTATTGTTTGACCGCCTCTGGCTCTCTTCCACCCTTCACATGGTTGGGCGAAAAGAGCCCTTCGAGGAAGTCGGTCGACTGGCATACGCAGCACGTGGCCAAGCCAGCGCAACCTGTGCAGTGTGATCAGTTCATCTATCGAGGGTGAGTTATTTCTCCCGAATACCATTCGACGTACTTCAGAATTGCTGATCCGGTGTTCCCACCAGATTCGGGCAATGCTCCGAAGACATCGATGGTCAAACACTGAAAGTCTTTTGACGTCCTCGGCGCGCAGCGGCCAGGTTTCTGATCCATATAGTAATATGGAGCGCACCGCAGCATTGTAAACTCGACCCTTGACAGAGAAACTGATGTCACGCCTACGCCACAGGTGACGTAGGTTCGCAAAAGCTGCTCTGGCCTTCCCAATCCGAATGGAAATATCATCTTTCACCAGACCACCGGGACTGATACAGCTGCCTAGGTAAACAAATTTGTCTACTACCTCAATCGTTTCATCCGCAAGCATGAGGCTAGGGTTCGAGCCCACCCAGTCTTGCAGTAGCACTTTACAGTTTGCAGATGTGAAGCGCATACCAAACCGCGAGGCGGAATTATTTACCTTATTTAGTATTGTTTGCATTGCCGCGGGGTCAGATCCTAGAAGAGCTATGTCTTCTGCGTACTCACTTGGTTACGTATGGATAGAACGTGTCTAAAGAGTGGGAGCTCAAGTGCGTTCATTACTGGTTCGTCTGTTCACCGGGCAATGAATACGGATTATTTAGCCGTTTGTTAACCGTGCCTGCGTTTGGGCGATAATAGTCCGTTAGGTAATGCTTCCGTTATCAATGAACTTGGGATGCACCACAATCCGCCCTGTCGTTGGTCAGTGTTACTGTTGGCCGGTATACATTTTCCAATTTAGATTATAAGGACATACGGTGACTGATACTTTGTGGGTCGACAGCTTATTGCTATCACGTTAGCAGCTGCAGGTGATCAGTATTCACCATGTAGATACGCACGAAGAAAGCTACATAACCGCATAATTTGGCTCAAATGGAAGGTGGCACGTGACTCATCAGTATTGAAAATGTTAACCCAAATGTAGATGAGATTTAGTAAACGGATGATAGCAAGGAGGGTGAACCTCTCTAGTGGGATTGTTTCTTTCACGGGACGAGGGTTCATTGGGTGTACGAAGGAACCAGGAACTGTTATGTGGAGCATCCAAGTGACTGGCAATAGCACCACTTAGTACGCATACTAATAATACTCATACTAATAATAATCGGTCAGCTGTGGTACCCTTTCGGTGCCTTGTTGTCATGCCACTTGATGGAAGCACGACGGCTGGGATACTGTCGGATTGTCCAAGCTTAGACAGAAGCAGTCGAGATGCCGCACTTACAGTCTGTAAGTTCGCGCCTTAACACTTAACACTAAGCCTTAACCACTAAGTTATTTTGAGCTCCTTAGTGTGCGAAAATGTTGTATTCAGGAATGGAAACTAAACCTGGATGGTCTAGGCGCGTTGATGTGCTACAGACGAGGCGTACAGAACAGCGAAACAATTCTGGTAAGGAGGATGGTACAGTTGGCCCTGTGGTAATATGTTCGACAATTCTTACCGTAGATTGGGTCGGATATAGATAATCCGCAGTTAACGGAAGGCGGGAACGTACGTCAATATCCACAATGATGTTTTACCACCCTGCACACGCAGTCGACAAACCGGAGGTGTAATATTTCAATTTTAGTCCACCACACAAAAGTGCAAGTTTTTCGAAGTGTATGACTGTGGACTGACCAACTCATCTTTAAGGTCTGGGACCTCAGGCGAATGTAATGGGTGTAATGACGATCAGTTTGTTTTTAGGTTCCGTGTTTCATATGTGAATAACGGTCAGTGAATCCCATGGAAATCAGCCGAACATGCTTGCATAACAAGTGGCATTTCATTCCACTTTTGAATGACAGTGGCTTTATTGAACCCCGCACAAAAAACCTTTTTAACGACTTTCAAAACGTAAAACCAGATTGATAGGATCAAACGTGTGATCCACAGAGTAGTTTACAGTACAGGTTTTCAGGATTTTATCTTTACGGGGAACTGGAATATTCACGAAAAGTAGCGGAGCTTTCACAACAATTCTCCCAGTGTGTCATCTCTCTCCTTTCCTTTGACTTGTGATAGTCAATCAGATCCAGATGCCTAATACCATTACCATTTGGCTGTTATGTAGGGCTTTTTTCATTACGCCCTTTGTCTACTTTCGTTCATAGCAAGTAGTCTGAACGTTTTGGCCATACTGTCGTCTTCTCTCAGGTGCTTGCATTCCTGACTCTGTTTTGTGCTGTCATTTATTCACATCTGTAGGATTTGTTGGCCCCTGTTGAGGAAGACGACAGAATCTCAACAACCTCATCCGATTCAGATGAACCTACAGAGAAACAGAAAACTAAAGGAAAGAAAAAGAAGAAAGCGGCTGTTGTCGAAACGGGCAGCCCAGCCGATATAAAACGTCAGCCGGGAGTGGTATCAAAGGGTTCTGCAGAGGAATCCGCTACTAAGACTAACGAGTCAAATGGTGAGGGGTTCTTCCTTTGTAATGTTTCTTTTATCCCATTTTTTGGAAAAGCTGTTGCGTTCTTGTTTCCATACGTGTTCTAGCGTTATGAAGACTTGTTTTCAAGGTTAGTCGGTGTATTACCTGTAATTCAGGCTCCCGGGCAGTTTCATCCCCGAGCTTTGTTCGCGGTTTAGGAACAGTTCTCATGGCTTTCGTTTTCATACTGTGTAGGAGAAAAACTGTTTTAGGAAGTGTGTGTGTGTGTTACGTGGGCCAACTGGTTATCCCTCTCTCAAGTGAAGTGAGTTGATTCGAAAGGCACTCGAGAAATTCGGTATCCGGTCGACGGTTCCATTTTACTTGTTTTATCCACTCTTTTAACCTTTACACTAACAGTATGCTTAGCTTACGCTTCTGTGTACATATCCTGTGCTGATCCATTTAACAACACTATGTGTGGGCTTGTGCTGCTACTATCTGTGAACAGCGTTGGTGCTTTTTCCCACAGTTGTATGTTTGCATGAGTGCCCGACCGATTTATCTGGTACTAATTCGTTGCTGGGTCGTTTATTACCCACCTATGATCGTCCAGTTCATCTTGAGCCACCCCCCGTGTGCTGACAAGCGGACTTTAATAGTGGTTTCCAATGTGTATTCCATATTAGCAATGTTGTGGAATGTAGGTAGCTCGGGTGCGTTGCTTGGTTGTTGGTCTGTTCGCCGAGCTTGACAGTTGGATTGTACTCCATATCTTTGATTAACTTCACGTTATTGTTTTTTATTACCCCAGCTTGTACCATATTTAACAATTCTGCCATTGCTTCCAGTGTTGACTGGAGTTGCAGTGTAGTTAGCGATATAAAAGTATATTACGTTGCCCGTCGGTTCAGGCAAACTTTATAGACCGGGTGATGAATAAATTGAATATTGTTGGCTGCCTGTTGAATTCTTCCACGATAAGTTTGTGCGGCACCATGTTGGCTCGCAGCAAACTTACCCAAGGTAAACTGTCTTAAATACTTCCTCACCTAAACAACAGTCTTTTAATCCTGCATTAGTTATGGATACTACTGTCCTCTTTCCCCCATTTTGTTTTGTGAATGACCCGGTCATTTTCTCATTCATTTCTACACAGAGAAACAACCTGCCTCGGCCCTATTATCCCTTCTTTGGACTCCTATTCAAAGAGATGACCCCACTCGAGCAAAAGTCACTTAGTACAAATAACTCTTAACGATTATTGTACCGGCCAGCCAGCTCGTCCAAACACGATCACTATTCGGGTAAACTTTGTTTAGGTGATCGGGAGGTATGGAAACAACGCCACTTAACAGCGATTATTTTTTGGAGCTTATGCAGGTATCTTACCTAGTTCTTCCGGTTCACACGGACCCAGTATCACTTGCAAGTGAGATTTACTCTGAGCTGAGCTCCGTTGCTGATAGTGAACCATGTTCAAAGGGAGAAAGAAGGGACCAAATTATAATACACATGATTTTAACATCATTTAGGCTGCCAATGAATTTCCACCCGCAGTTCTGTTTTGGTGAGCTCTGTTCATCCACACGGCCCGCGTTTGCGAGGTAAATGCTGTTGAAAATTAGTCAGAAAACAATGTATCAAGGAAATTTGTGAAGTGCCAAACATCGTACATTACTGGAAGTTCACCAGCTTAGTTAGTTAATAACTTGTGCATGAAAATGGTCCGGCTAAAACACTACTGCAGTGCGTACGGATTTCCGCTCTGATCCGTACGTAATGAAACAATTGAAACAAGGTTGGTAGTTATGCAGCAGAAGTGTTCTGTCTAAAAAAAAACATACTTTCGGTTGGCACCGACCAGTTGTGATGTATAATTACCACGTGTAAAAAACCACAGCGTCGTAATTATCAGATTCTCACGAGTAGTCCGATTCCTAAGGAATTTGGTTGCATTGGACTGGGAAAACTCCAATTTAATTCACTTACATCGTGTGCAAATGAGGTGTGGCTAAGAATTTGGGCTCTGAACCTGAGCATCGGGTGGTCGAGTCTTAATTCACCCACCTGATGAGTACTAACTTAGTCGGGCATACCTGCTGGGACAAAACAAATCCATTTATTTTCATGGTCGATAAAATCCATAAATGACTGGATGTTGAAGTAGATGACTGTGAGTGCATCGGTGAGTGTTTCAATTCCGTTCATGCTGGAGAATATCAGGATTCGTTCAGAGGAAGTTTCCACACCAGCGAACGATTCTAATCGGTCCTTTGGATGCTATTTATATATGGCCGACGAACGCATTCATCCTGTTTTGACTGTAGATTCTGTTGATGGGTGCATTCCTCCAGCCCGTGACACTCGTTAAGTTCACCTACGAATATCCTGATTCTATCATTACCGTTTGCTATTCGGACAATATGCTAGATGATAGGACTACAGTGAATCCTCTCTGCGGAGTGCCGTCAACGAAGTGACCCACCGGATTCCCGTTGTGATCCTTAGAGAATAACTGCCCACTTTTCTGAAAGCAATCTTGTATCCGTTTCACCAGCTGCACTGCATCTCGACATCCCCTGTCTAGGCTTGGACAATCTGCCAGTATCTCTTTCGTCGTGCTTCCTCCGGGTGGCATGACATCTAGGCACTGAAATGGTGTTACAGCTGAGCAACTTTTATTAGCTTGATGTTAAATTTTATACCAGCATACAAACTCATCTTTACCCTTATAGTATATATGTTCGCCTAGCATTTTGTCGCGTCGCTGATAAGTTTTGTGGGAGCAAATCTGATAGGTTGCCTACTGCGCTGATATTCTATTGTGTCACTTGTACTCGGTTTCTTGTTATATAGTCCCGACCGTGACCGAACATTCTGTACAACGGTTGAAGCGCCTCCGCCGCCCGCTCACTCCAGAAGAGCGTGCCTTAGCCCTTCGACTTATTCGTTCTGCCAAATCTCGCCGGGAGCTACTCGAATCAGCCTATCATCGCATGCAGTTTTTCGAAGACCCGTCTGACCTACCTGATTGGTTTGTTGAGGATGAACGGATACACATGCGGAAGCCGTTGCCGCTAACAAAGGTTATTCAATTTCCGAAAATGTATTTTTCTATTATGTTTTCCTCAAACATGCTACACATAGGTTTCATGGCCAGCTGACGGATAACATCTGTGTTACCGAGTATGTTCGATCACTTTGGACAGTTGGTAGTGACGGACTGATAAGTAGGGTTCACTATGTTGTGAGACGCCAGCTATTGTGCTGAGAAAAATGTAGCGCCGACTCTGCTGACTAGCTGATCTAACCTGTTCCTGGCCATCCTTTCAGTTTCCTCACTTAGTCTGACTAGACTTTTGTGTCAGACATACTCAGCGAAACATACTCTGAAACAATCTTCACCGAGTATCTCCTGATGCAATCACCTACTTGTTGGACATTCATTTTCAATGAAATGATAGTCAGAATGCTGTTTTGAATATACGGTGTTTCCCTTTGGAGTCAAATCCAGGTTAGTGACCAAATATTAGGAGAGATTTATTAAAGCGATGAAGTGTATAAAAGGAAAAACAAAAATAAGGTCGAACCGTCGGCTTCACTAGTTCTGTGGTGAGAAGTAACATTCCAAGTTTTCATGGTCAAAGTAGTGGTTTTGTATGAGGTACCTCGCCTTACAATGCCTTACGAAGCAGTTGGAAGTTGCGCGGGTCATCTCTTGATTCTAAGACCTTGCATTTGGTTTCTTAGATGACCCTGCCCGGAGCCAATAAGTAGGTTGACCTACATAGCTGTGCGGGGCGCAGAGAGTAAAAAGTAACAATCGGAGTTCGTGTGCTGCCGTTCACAGCAGATGTGTTTATTGTGTCATCGGGATTCTTTGTAGTACCTATTTTTTTGATATCAGGTATTTTGCCGGCGGCCATGGTCAATCTTCAAGTGTTCAAAGCGCTCAGCCTTCAGAGCCGACTTTTCCGCACCGTCCTTTTTCCCTGGGGACCAAAATGAAAGTTCTGGTCATCAAGGGGAAACACCTCAGTACATTCACTTTTGTCCTAGGGGACAGTACGACTTTACCTGGAGTCTGTTTCTTAGTCTAGTGCTCATGGTATGACCACCTGCTGCACTTTGACTTTCCTGGCATGGTTGCTTCTTGATGGATGAATTTCTAGGTAATCCATCTCACTGGATTACTGCAGCACTTCAACTTAGCCGGCACGTCAGGGCGGCAGGTTTCTGTTAGATTTTGCTTTCGGGCGTTATGCGAGCTGGTCACTGCCCGTTTGTGCTCTAACTTATTTGGGCCTTCGATGATGGATTGTCTTTTTGCCAGTTGACAACTTCCTCCAACTGGTCTTTGGTCCGTTTACAAACCCTGTTATCACCTCATTCTGAATCCATGTTCTTACCGCTGCGTTTCCACTTCTACCTGTGCGGACGCAGGTAGTTTCTGTGTCAATAGGCAACTACTACCCATTGCTTGGTAATTGAGTGAGGGTCGATATCATAGTCTCTATACCCGTAATCTGATGATACGCAGCTGCAGCTATCCGTCTTGTCTAATTGGTTCTGATGCCTTTGATACCTTTGTATGTGCGTTGCTTTACTGGCTTACTAATTAATGTATTCACCCACGTTCCCTGTACTGTCTGTTCTATCTGCTGCAAGTCTCACTTCAACCCCGATTTTGGTGCTTTTCCTAACGCAGGAGGAGGTCTCCCAGGATCGTCCTACTCAGGGACGTTCCATGACTAAGGTCGAGGAAGCAAAGGCACGGAAAAAAGCACGATTGGCCAAGCGACTGAAGCGAATTCGTAAGAAGGCCGAGGAGATTTCCGATGATGTTCCGGAAGCGGAAAAATGGCAGCAAATTAAACAGTAAGTAGGCGTTGAATATTGTACAGGTCCTTTCATAAACACCCACTTTGTAGTCGCCTCATGTCATCTTTGTTTGCATGATTTTGTTTAACCAGAATCCAATCGCAGCAACGTTGAGCGGTAATCAATGACCCTAATAGGTGCCTCATAGACCTCCAGTATGCCGGATGCAATGCACTAATGCTACACGATCCCACAATCACCATAATATGACGGTGTGGTGAAAGAAAGAACGGGTGTCGTTCATCTTAGGCGCTGCAGAATGCACACTACGCAAGCATTTGCCTAGGCAAACCGAATGGAAGCTAATTTCGTCGATCGCGAATCATTTTCATCGTCTTCGCTATGTACCACCCACTTAACAAACATTGCGAGCTCAACTTGAGCAATGAGTCGAGCCACCGATATTGGGACACTAACCTTACACAATCTTCGGTAGTCCACCGCAGAGCTTACCATCGGAGAACGCCTTTTTATAGACAGCCAATAATTAAAGATATGTAGCAGACGAGTGGCAGCACACAGCCCTCAATTCAAGCATAATACTGCGATAAACCCTGGGAGTAATCACTCTTTTGGTGAGAACCAAGTTTTTCGCACCAACGGATTTTCCTACTAGCCACCTGTAGAAACCGGACTCATCAGGATCGTGCCGTAGATACTCCGGTTACGCAATGACTGAATCCTCCTCATAAGAGGCAATATCATAGTGATGATATTTGCTATTTTTGGTGCAGGAGAACGGATTGACTGTTTTGCAAAATGGATGGATGCAACTACCTTTGCTGTGGGGGAATGGGGAATGAAACCTAAAGGATAACAACGGTACCACCTTCAACCCAATGCAAGCCGTTTGAGACTAGTACTGTGTGCAAGCGTTCAGTGGCTTAACCACCGATTCGGATGCCATCCATTGGACTTGGCCGTCAGTTTAACGTCGTTGGATTATGAGATTTCTCACAAATTTTTTCAGTACAGAATAAAGACACTGGAGCAGCAGACCGTGAATCTTCCTCGTTCCAGTATCTTCTCTTATGACCTTTTTTCAAGTTTCACCGGGCATCACATTTCACGGTGGCTGATGGCCCCTGTACGTGGTCACCACAACGATATCTCAATGTGCGCATCAGCCACGGATCTACGGTCGTTGACTATCTGCTACCCATATTTCCGTAAGAGTGAACGATTTCGTCATGCGCTTTCAATATTAGTTTAAAATGCCCGAAGAAATGTGTTGGCTCTTGTCGCAGAGCTTGCGACATGGTTCTTCCTTATCGCCTTTCTCACGAAGGAACGACCGTCGCATGCACGTGTCACAGAATCAAGTAAGAGTAGGGATGATATTGCGTTAAGTGCGCCTTACGTTCCTAAGTGATACACGTTCCTACGTAGTGCGGGTTCCAGTACCGATTGGACCTACTCTATTCGCTTCTCGAGCAAAGCCATTTGCAACTGTTTTTTGTGCTTTGATCTCATTCTTTTCGGTCTCTTCCTCTGTCGTACAAGTGAGGATAGATAGAGCGAGTGATTGTTGAAACGGAGGAATGATAATTACGTACTTGTGTCTTGTCAAATTGAAGTAATCATTTTGTCAGAGGAATGGATTGGGTTACCGAATGATTTTCAGGTCAAATGTTCCACAACTTGTCTGTCCAACTGATTTTTATCGAATGACAGTAGTTCCGGTAAAGCCCTTTAAATTTTGACGACTTAGGTGTGTCCCTATTTTGTTCCCGGGATAGATGCTTCTTACTGCTTTTTTTCCAGCAATAAACTACTGTATTTCGGCGCCGTCACGGCGTACAACAACTGATAGTTTTCTGGGTATTTCAGTCCTAAAGAAGTCGAACATTTTATGTCTGGTTCTGCTACGTACGAGACACTAGGCTGGTAGGTAGTTGAAAAAAGCACTGGCTAACTTTGGGGGATAACTCGAGCGTATATTTTTGGTCAGAAATTCGGTTTTTCGTTGTAGCTTTGGTAGATGTTGGTTTTCCTTTACGGCACTCGGCTCAGATCGTAGCCAACTTTCTACTTTTCTCTCCTCGGTGTCAGGACTTCAGTTAGACACATAAGAGCACATTATATTTGTTCATCCAACTGAATGTTACTAGCTATGTTGTACATCCCAGCCTAGAGCGAAATCACGCATTCGGCTAACAAATGAGTGGGTTTCATTCATATCTATCCAAGTTGGGAAACTGACGAGCGTCTGTACAGACGGTAAGGTTGTGGTGGCTTTATTGAACCGAAACTTGCTAGATGATTCAAAGGTTTCCGTTCACTGTTGCAGTTGAGTAAATTTCTGTCAGTGCCGTTGATCTCATTCCCGGTCAAAACACTCAAATTGTTGCTTTGTCTGTGCACTAAAAATGGAATTTGTGTTTAGAATTCGTTTGGTTTCATCTGTAATTTGGACATCTCTGCCGTGATTCTACCAGTTCGTTGAGCAGTTTTTCCTCTCCTGACTTTGCGAAATCGTTACCGGGAACAATTGCCTTTGTCCTTACCTTTGTTTATATTTTTCTTAATAGGATGTATAAAAAAGCCGGTCTGCTGAACAAGAAACGCAGACCGTTGCATTTGATTGTGAACACAAAGGGTGGAGCACGCAACAAAACTACAAAGGCCCCTAGGGGGGCCAAAGTGAAAATTGTCGATCGACGCATGAAAGCAGATCTCCGTGCTCGTGACCGTGGTGCGTCGAAGCGACGACAGCGGGGCGGTCGTACTGGACGTCCCGTCCGATTGTTGGCACACAAACCTCGAAGAGGTGGTCGTCGTGAGTGACGGGAGGCTAACTTGCAGAGGCTTTTTGTACATAGACTTTGAGTTCTACACTTCCCTGTTATTGTTGAATACAGCCGGATTACTCAGCCTTGCTTTTGTGTCGTTCCAGTCTATAGTTACCTTGCGGACGATTCGTAAAGACCAATACTGTTGAAGTTTGCTACTAGTTGTTTTCAAGCTCACTGGAACAACTTCGAAAACTCAATGGTACTATCGAAATACACCCATTTACGTGCCATTTTGGTTTTTACGGGACGCCCATTTTGAACCCAGCTGAATTTCTCATTTATGATGTTTTCAAGCTTAAAAAAAATAAACGAGATTCATCTGGGCTCCAGGTGAGTCTCCCGTCGAAATCAAAGTGGTATGTAATTGAGCGTGTTTGTCGGATTTTGTTCAATTTGGGTTCGGTGGTTGCACCTACCTGATGAGCCCCAAAAGGGCGAAAACGGTCGTGTGTTGTCGAAGAGTTTTCAACCTCATGCGTAGTGTATTACGTCTGTCGATGGCACTCTTCACTATTCACCTGTGAATGTGTTTTTTGCTTAAATTTCAGGCATGGCGATTTGTTAGCGTTCCTTCCTCAGCTGCGGATTTGCAGATTGAATAGCGAAAGCAAACCGACAATGCATGGAAATCTAAAGTTACTGGTTACGTGAACATAAAATGAGTTAAAAATCCGCGTAAATAGTCAAATTGATATTTCGCTATCAGCTAAGGGTTCAGCTTTCAAACTAACCCCCGGGGGTGACTTACTGGACCAATCAGGTGACTAATGAGTGTTTGCTGAAAATCCGACAATCAATTCACGACTTTTCACTCAATTGTTGAATGTTGGGCCGTGCATAACAGACACTAACCTCACCTGCAACCAACAGATAATCTTATAGAAAAAACTTCCACAGTTTACATGAACATTCTGAAAGACCATCATTTCGAGAGCAGGTCAACGCCTGATCGACCTCCAAGAAGTGCGTTGCTGAATCAGTGGTGCCGTATCCCGTTTAGGACTCGTGTATGGCTGCGACATTATCTCTCGCTGCTGCTATTGCAGTTCCCATGATATGAAAAAAGCCAACCGGTAGATCATCTGAGAAGCATTACGGACTATCAGCTTGTTCGTTTTGGAGTAGCAGCTATGCGGTTGTGCATTAGAGTTAGCGAGCTTTTAGGTTGGGGTCCCATGGGCTTCGCCGTTACTTCTGAACTGTGGGAATAAGACTTCTTCACTTCTTGAACTGTGAACAAGGTCGGTTGAAGCACTACTTAGCGAAACCTTCGCCCACCATGGATGAGGTGAGGAATGCAGCTGAGTTACACTTGTGTTGTTTCTCGACTTTCAGTGTTAGTGGGAATTTACAGGGTCTATGAACGGGTTGCGTTCCTTCTCAGCTTATCTAAAGACCACAGAGTTTGCCGATGAGTCTTAAGTCAATGCCTGTCGCCCATCTCTTAAGTTTTTATTTTTATTTTCAACGCCTTACTTATCCAGGTTATCCTTCAGTGAACAAAAAGTCCGCTCCGCTTAGTAGCTTTATATTTGACTGTTCTGCTTGATATGTGTGAATACCTCTATTGAAATTACACACGCAAATAGGCGATGGTGCTCGTTCGTCAACTTCACTTCATTGTTTAGCTAGCTTCTTGGCGCGTTGCACAGACCAAGGAACGTGTGTTTCGCACCCATTGAGTATCGTCCGACTGTAAAGCAGATCGTATGTGTCCTGCAATCATCCGTTATCTTTTCGATGATCACATCAAGTTATATTGCGTGACACTGGATACTGAACTCGAAAAACGAAACACAGTGAACAGAAAAAAATAGGTCCATGGATTATGAAATGAAAATTTGGACCGACGAATAGTAAAAAGTTTGACCGAACTCGAGATAGGGGGCGAATTTACTGACCGGAGTGTCCATGGTCCGAATCCAACCTCTGCATCTCGAATGTTCCCGTCCAGGTTTGAGCAACCTGGCGCTATCTCAGCTCCCGTGCTTCTTTCGGTGACATGACAGCAATGCACCAAAAGGGTGCGCAGCTGAACCGTCATATTACTATTACTATTTTTAGTAAAAATTTGGACTAGCAACCGAAAACGAGGAAAATAAATAAGGTGAGATGGGTGGCATGTACTAACTGGCGCTGGATGAAATTGTTTCATGTTATGTAGCGACCCAGTCACCCACATACTTGACTGTTCTACTCACAGTCGCTCACTGGATCGCGAGGCTTGTCTTTTTCTCACACTCAAACACGTCGCATTAAGCTGACCTATCGGCCATCGATTGTCTGCACCGCCTAGTCAGCGTAGCAACCACTCATGTGCCGACGCGCCCACATAACGCACTGGGACCTAAATAGAGGCAAACCGAACCCAGTCAAGACACAGACTCGCGCGCGCGCAGGGAGCAAGCACTCCAAGTCCACGGACAATCATGGAACGCGTGTAGCAGCCAAACTGCGGAGAAAACACGTTACCGCCGTCCGGACTTTCACCAAGGGACTCTCACATACGATAAGTTCCTTTATTGACTTGCTCCCTTTTCGCATTGTATTCATTTTTATACGTGTCGCAACCATGTTAAAAACTTCTATTAGTGCACATTCACCTGATTTGTATTATGGCTATCGCCACCTGTGCACTAATAATTGGTGAGCCCGACGTGACCTTTGTGGACTCACGTAAATCCTGACAATGTATGTGGGTGACTATCTAGCCTGAACTATTTCATGGGGTTTCAGGTTATGTATTTTCACATCTCGATGACTTTGAGGGGGACTAATCCTCCCTACAAAAAATTATCCATTACGAAGACCACTATCCTAGCTCATCCTCTTCGGATGCGTCTGTCGGCATCATTTTTTCTTCAGTGGACTCATGAACTAAGCGTTACTGATGGTGTCGGACGAAAGACAGCAACATCAGTGTTGACACCGATGCTTCACTGCCGTATAATCATAGAGTTGTATTCAGGGCCTTAAAGTGAAAAGAAGTGGAAAAGAGTGGATGAGGGAGGGGACATAGTGCTGGCCTGTATACTCAGGTGACTACATATCCAATCACAAGTTCAGACATTCTGGAAAGAAACGCATCACGAACGTTACTGACGTCGATCAGCCGCCATTTCTTGCAGTGTCTATAGCCAAGCACAGACGGGGTCACGGGGACCCCATCCTGGGAGGCGCACAACATCAACAACACCCAAACTTTGTGATCTCTTCCACGTCCTCCCAAGCCATGCGTTGCGCACCACGCGGTTTGCGCGATTCTGAAGGAGGCACAGAGAACAATACTCGTCTCGGTAGACGGTGTTTCGGCATGCATAACGCATGACTGAGCCACCGCAATTGATGGTGCTGGACGTTTTCTGAAATTGAACTACGTGCCGCACAACCAGATGCCAATTTTCTAATCATCTCGTTACCAATATGCTGACGTCATCCACAACCAGCAACGATTCTGAGGCATTGTTGGTCAAAAACCCGAACACCCTTCACATCTGTCAGCATAGGCCACGTCTTGCACCCGTAGAACAACGTAGCCCATATTGTAGCTTGGTACACGCGACCCTTAAGTCCCAGTGATATGTCTTTTTGACACCACAAGTGATGCAAATTAGCAAACGATTCGAGCCTTTGAGATTCTTGCATTGACTTCATCAGACACACCTCCGTCATAGCTAATACAACTACCGAGGTGTGTAGACATTTCCACAACCTGCAGTGATTCTCCTTGAATTGTAACTGGTATATTCGGATACTACGCGTTCTGGTACATGGCTTCACTTTGAAGGTGCAAGACGCATGCCAAAAAATGAGTGTGGTCAGTCTATTCAACAGGGCTTGTGTTTCGCTTTGTCTTCAAAGATGAGGGCGATACCGTTTGCGTACTCAAGATTGACTAGGTTCTCAGTGGCAACGACTTGATCACCGGGGTTTTGAAGACCTTCCAACGTTCATCTCATTATTTCACCAATGAAAAAGTTGAACAAGAATGGAGAGAGTGGACATCCTTGTCGGACACCACTTTTTGATTGGTAAGCTTTTGAGGAGTTCACCGTACACTTTTGCACACCCAGAAGTATGTGAATATAGGGATCAAATTATGTTCACAAACTTCTGGAGCATACCCTGTTGAGTAAGTGTAATTAACAGCATTGACCGATCGACAGAATCGAATGCATCGTTGAAGTCAAGGAACACCAGGATTGCGAATCGTCTGTACGTGTGACGTTGCTCTAACACTTGACGGAGTGTGAAGATGTGGTCAATGAAGCCTCTACCCGGTAGAAATCTTGATTCTCAAGCGAAGGTTCCGCATGCCACAGTAAGACGACGAAGAATGAGTAACGCCGTAAGCCGTGTCACAACGTGAAACAAACTAACACCTCTGTGGTTACTACATTCAGTGCTTGTACCCTTTTCGGAAATGGACACTACTGTCGATTCATATCATTTGTCTAAGACGGTCTCTTTCTTCCAGATGAACCCAATAGGCTAGACAGGCACTGGCTGAGAAGCCCACCGCCACCCCTGAATAGAGCAGGTGGAATGTCAGGACCAGAAGCACGATGAGTAGAGATACATACTCGGTGACAATTGACATTCAACACTGATGTAGTGTGATAATCTGAAGAGGACTTACTGATTGGTTCTCCGTTTGTCTTATAACCTGGCCAGTTTGATGCCCTGCTCACTTGACTTGATGAAGCTTTTATGTCAAAAGCGGAACGTTGCCGAAGTAAAAACTACCGATTGTCTACCATGCTCTTCTGAAACTAACGAAGACGTTTGCTTTTTTCGATAGTGTGATTCATCCGTTCGTGATGGCTCAAATAGCCATATGTGATCTTTACACCGTTTGTTATTCGGTTCGGGTAGCTTTCCGAATGCAACAAGTAACCAATAGAGTGAATGTAATGAGTTTCATAATGCGGTTTATGGCTATTCTAAAATCCACACTATATCATCTCTGCAACAATGGATTATGTGTTAGTGCGTATCGAATATCCAGTGTCAACGGTAATCGTCCAGGTATTCACCTGTTCAATATGCTGATCCATCTTCGGTATGCTTCGACCGTTTGGTCCCAGGTTGTAATGTCCTTTAATCCAAAGCAACGACAGAAGTGAGACTCGGAAGTTAACCACTTGACTGGTTGTCCGATCGTCTCAGAGATTCTCTGATTGGTCTACCTTCTGGAAGTTGTAGAGATATGATACACCATTTCGACTTTCAACCTGATCTATGGTAGGGCTTCATTTAAACCACTACGATGTCCTCCTATGTGATGTCAGTTCGAATACTTGGGTTGCAAGCGTGACTTACACTTTGTGGGCTTCGGTTTTTCGTATCCCCAGTAATGGAAACCAGTCTTTGCCCGACGATTCAAAGCGGTATCAAAAAAGCGCAAGCGTTCCCACTTTGTCATTCCTTGGGTGTATGGTCCGTTAGTCACCATATCAGGGCAGGCCAAACGGATCACTGCATGACTGTCCTTCAGACCCAATTGTTGCAGTTGAGCCGCAACGTCATGCGTTCGTAGGGCCTCGTTTGACTTGTCCCACTCGGCTTCGCAACTCTGAATTTAAATTAAAACGTGAAGTTCACGAAGTTCGACGGTTTGATCTTGTACGGGAATCATCATGGTAAAACCAGTGGATGTTTTTGGTTAACTGTAAGTCGGACGATATTTTCTGAACTACTGTCTTTCGTTGTGTTTCAGGCAGTTTGATCCGAAAGGAAAAGCCTCGGTATTCCCATGTCGTTTATCGCGTTGTTCCAATAAAAATATTTATTTTCGCATTAACACTTTGTAAATGCCAAATAATTCGCTGTTTTCTACTCACCTGCTAGCCACTAATTAAATTGGCCAACAGGAATCGTAATATGCCCAACGGCGAACCAAATTTAACTGAATAGGGCCAAAGGCAGCTGTGTTTTTTCTCCCATACATACTGGACTGGTGAGCATGTATTTGTGAAAGGACAGTGTTCGTTTTGGAAGCAATCAGGTTTTTCGGCTACCATGACTTCTGGTCCGGATCTTACTGCATTAATAGCTACTCGGTACTTTTTGTACAAAACACCACATGTGTCGCGAGCGACGAATTAAACTTACAAACTTTTGGATATTCCCGTAAAATGCTGGAATGAAATAAATGAGCGGAAAATCTCACAAGCCATCAACTGATTTAGTCTTTGTTTTGTGTACTTTAGTTGGATCGAAACCACACCAAATGGGATGTTTTTGGGGCATTGTACTTTGGCGCTAGTGAGCAAGTTTCCTTTCAACTAGAGCACAGTAAAGTATGGGTGTTTCTGCGCCGCCGGTGTGTTGTGAAAAATAGTCCTTTCATCCCAGTTTGTTTTGGTTTGTATGGTGTTAAATCTGGATTAATTCTTTCGTTAATGAATGCGACTCAGCGTCCAAGGTGGTCTATCTGGTGGGCAGGTAGTAATCAAAAACACCCCGATTCACCACTTCACTTATTTCCGGTTAAATCCATTATTGGTCAGTTGAGTTTTTGAATTGATTCGAATTACATTCAGTCTGCAGTATGCAGTGAGCTGATGTTAGTTCCAAATATCAAATTTGAAAATATATTTCTCATGGGGCGAGAGTATGTGACTGTGTGGGAGCGTGTCGACCAGGTTTCGGACCAGCCGTTGACAGCGCACCCAGAAAACAAGCCTACCATGCAACGAAGCACAAGATTCTATGGTAAGAATGTAAGGAGGAAACGGGAATGGAGATCGTTCTTGATCGATAACGAGCAGCAAGTTGGGCTGTCAGTGAATCGTGGTTCAGTACGCTATACCGTAACTTTGATACTCAGAAAAGTTTGCGTATTTCACTAATGACTGCATGACCATCCTGGCTATGCTAGATGTTTAACCCGTCCACTAAAAACACAAATGTGAATGTGTACTTTATTTACGCAACTGTGATCATCCGTCGCTAATATGGAGTGGCTATTGTGGCAGAAGTTGGACGCTAAATTAGTAGCCTTATGAACATATCAGTCAGCTGATCTATTGTATCCGAGAGGCATGTGATGGTTACTTTAATGAACTATTTTGAATGACTTGGCTACAACTCAGTTTGATTCTGATGGCTTTATTACGTATTCAGAAGCGGTGATTAGGCTATTTAGGAGACACATCTTGAAGCATCAAGACATACGCTATGTTATGTAGTGGAAATAATAATAAATATTAAGTGGTGTCTAAGAGTGTTTCTCCTTCTTGTGTTTTAGCTCGTCTTGGTAATTGGTTCCGGAATGTCATCTCCCGTGAACCTTCTTCAACATACCGGAAAAGATTCCTAGAAAGACGGTTTAGCTGATATCGCCTGAATTCGAGTTACAGTCTTTATTACATGCTGAACATATGTCTTCGAAATTCAGTACTTTGCTGCTACCGACTCTTTCAACACTCCACACTGTACTAAAGTTTTATATTTATACGATTTCTATTCCCGGTAATAAGCATGTTTGGTTGAACTCAGCGGTTCGCGCGTTTATAGTGAATATTCATTTTGGTAGTTTCAAAGTTGGGACACTCAATTCCCGTGAATGAATCTTGCCATTTTACATTTTGGAGGAGATGATTGCCCTACACTACCTTGATCATCTTAATGAAAAATTCGAATTGATAATGGAAATTGAGAGAACGAAAATTTGATCGTTTGATGAGCTGTCGAAAATTGCCCGAGACTATTTCGTCATCCATTTGTCTTACGTTATAGAATGTGACGTTGATTAGACCAGCACACGTGGGTGAAAGTTGTTTCCAGATGATAAGGAGAAAGTCTTGTTTTTCCAGCATAATGTAAGCGTAAATATGGTCTTGCTCTCAAGTGACCCAAATCAGCTGCTAACTAGTGTTATCGTGGTTCTGCCCACTTAGATGGGGTGGCTAACTTATACCTCATTAGAATGCCTACCAAGTGAAGACTTATCGGAAAAAGATTGTTTTTGACGGCGAAAAATCCTTTGTAGGGCAAAACCATCTCGAGGAAACAGCTTTCCAGAACAGGGAACCATTTCTGCCCTGGTAAATGTCCGATGTGTTCAACCAACGGGAGACACTACGGCATAGGTGCTCAGGTTTACTGATAAAATGTTTGGTTTCATAAACAGGGGTATGACCGCGAAGTCCTGATAGGCCAATCAAACGATTAATACATCCGGGACAGTCACTGGTTGGTGCGTCGGCTAAGTCAGCCAGTCATCCATGAGTGACCACGTTAGCCCAGGTGCGTACACCTGGCGTTGATGCACTGGTGGTATCAGTTGCATCGCATTTCAGATGAGTAGAGTTCAAATTTCAGGATGATCGGGTATATACATTACTGATGACCTCTAATAAGGGGAAAACTCTCTGTTTCTGCGCGGAACTGGAACAAAAAGCAAACTAGGGTGGTGTGCGTACGGCTTATGGAAATCCCACAATTATCTACAGCGAATCTGTGGAATCTCGAACAGGTTTGGTGGCTCCCTATGGGTAGAACAACCGCGCAGTGGAAGAGTGGACAAAAAATTTACCCACGCAACTGATATGCATGAGCAGTGGCCGCCAACAATCGGCGCAGTGCAGTGAGAGTGGTCACGGGAACCATCCCGGTTGCTCTGTGTCAAGCTGGAGAAACGCGTCGAATACCATGACACATATGATGTGACTGAGAGGCGTCAACTGGTGATATTGAATGCAGTTATCAACCCGCTTCCGGAAGAATATAAAACAACGCTTTATCATGCGCCTTCCCGCAATAATTTTTTGTTCAACTTTGACTTGGAGATAATTGGAGACAATTTAAACAGACATGCTGGAAGCAAGCGATTCTCACGTTAGGTTGGTTGCAAAGACAAATAAGCTGTTTAAAAGACATGGGGCAAGTTTAAAGGTCAGTAATATTGAAAGACGGTGTCAAAATGGCGGATATTTGCAGCTGGTAGTGAGAAAAAGAAAGTCTTAGGTGACATCGTAACACCACAGTCATCCACCAGGTTTCAGCGTTCACACCCAAGTCTTAGGAAGCCATACAAATTTAAAGGTTCCGAGTAACTGCGATAAATTAATGACAAGGCAAGTCATTCTGGATACAATCCTGGCACGCAGTCTCATGAGTAGGCAACGGTAATCGGCGCAACCAATAGTAATCTTATGTGATCATTGATACACGATAACCATTATCAACAGTGTCTTGCCACGAATAGCACAACAAAACACAGCTAAGGAGGCCACAGTCTTTATACCATAGTTGTTTACCCAGCGTGCAAAACTTGGTGGTATAGTGTGCTATAAGGTAGATAAAAACCCAGGTCAGTTCCTTAACAGACGCACAGATGTGCTGGGAGATCTGCAATGACCAGGCTGCAATTACACTGAAGCAAACACACCCGTCGGCGGACGGATCCATTTGAAATTCGGCTGGGGTATGAAGGGGCTTGGAATTATCTTCTTGGCTCCCTAAAAAATCTTTAGTTTACAGACTATGGCAAAATAGGATGTCTTCTTTTTCAGTATGAATGACTCCGAGTCACCAGTAGCCACAATGTGCAACACCACAGTCAACGCACCTGTACAAACGCTCAAAAGCAAACGACCAGAAGAACGTGTTACGTGGTCCACGGTTAGCTTATAGAAACGTTTGGCAGTTCACCAGTAAATCCGATCAACTAATGTACGCTAGGATATTGCAGTTCAGTGGGAGAATCGACTACAGCGCCCACACATCCACATTATTTCTGTTTGAAAAAACTTTATAGATGTATTACCGCCTACAGGCATGCCACAGAATGCAGAGTGCTTCTAGGTACAACATGGCGATAAACAGGTTGTTTCTCATACGAGACTATTTCAATCTACTCGCACTGGCAGTAAGCGCTTATCACGTACATCCTAAATTTCTATAAACAGGAAAGTTTTTAGTTGTTTGAGACGAATGACCAAGCGGCTGGCTGTAGCGGCCATCATTGTGAGTGTCGTTCGGACCAATCGATACCGTGGACTTGTGCCTGACGACAGTTGAAGTTTGCTGGAGGCTTCCGGTCCACCCAACATCAATCACACATCCATCCGTAAAACTGACGTTGGTGTAAGACGGTAATGTTCTACATGAATAGGACAGTTGCACATTTCTGTTCAACACTGGTGTGTCCTACGTCAAGAAGTAGCTTTTTACTAGGTGTCGGGCCTCAGGCAACACAATTAAGTGCACCTTTGTTGTCACTTTCGACGCCGGTCCAGTTCTTAATGTGGTGCGAAGGAAACCTTTTACAGGAAATGTTCGCGCGAATTCCGGAGCGGTTATCAGAAGAAAACGAACGACTAATTTTATATCTGAGAACCTTGGTATCAATGAAGCGTAGGTGTGCACTATGGCCAAAATCAAGGAGCATGTACGCCGGCGTTGAGATTTCGGATTTGTCTACAATAGAACAGAGTTGAACTACGACGTGAATAGCGGTTAACCGAGCAGGAGTGATGACATATAGCAATCATCACTTAATTGTTCATTAGATGTCCCTCTTTCGATAGATCCACACAAGTATGGTTAGCTGCTAGAGACCAAACCACTGATGCAAAAATAGGTAATTTCCCATGGGTTTGTAGTTTTCACAACTTCTGCTTCTGATAAATCAATAAAGTGACAATTATTGCTTTTCATTTATATTCATTAAAGCTGCGAGGAGACTTTGCAATTACGCAGTTAGAACCTGTGCCTCAAGAAGCGAGCACTTCCAAGAACAGCGGAATTCTGCCCGATCGTGAGAGTAAGTGCCTTGCAAGGGGACCATGGTTTCATCTTCCGGAAGGGATAAACATCAGTTGATTTTGTTAGGTAGTTTAAGTAGATGGTCAGAATTTGTATCCACACTGACGATCGATCTCCCATGGGTTTTCTCAAAAGAATGGGTTTCTTTTGCGAAAATCCGTTGCCTAAATTCCTCTCCCTAGCCTGAGCAATTCAGTCTTTCCAAACATGCACATCAAATAGTACCTACGACCCCATGGGGAATGTGGTGACTTGCTCAAATTTTGACCTGATTTTCGGTCAGTTGTCGACTATCAGGGTGCCACTACGATATTTGAAACTGACACCAGCTGAGGTTTGAAAGAAAATCAGTGATTAACGGATGTCCATTTTGCACGGACGGTTATGATGCCAAAATACTCAGATCACTAAACAGTCGAATTTAATTGTGAAAGCATACGTTAATTACTGTCAGAGCACTGAAGAGGCAAATCAAATATTCTCGAACGGGGGTGGACTTTTGCTGTCAGCTGATGATACATCTGACGGTCAGCTGAGCTTTGATAAAGTGCAACGTAGGACGCCGTGAAAGTAACCAATGGAAGTGTGCATTCGACGAAGTGTACCAGAACTCAATTAGATTAGCACCTCGAGTTTGGAACAGTTTGATTTCTGTCTGATACTTATGGAAGGCGCGGAGATTGGAAGATTTTGAAATAGTCACTAGCAATTTGATGTCAAGTGGGCATTTACTGGTGCTAGAAATCAGCGATTCACTAATAACCGCCTTTCAAATCCTATGATCTGTCGCACTTACTACTTGCCAAAAGTTCACTCATAAACACTCAATATCACTCGTGTTTGTTCCTGTTTCTTGTTGTAAATGGTACTTTGGGTTGAATTTCTAGTTACTATTACGATATGAGGCGCAAAATTTGTCTCATATACTGTCGTCTTTTTGGGTGCTCGGTTGTGAGTACACTGTTTAAGAGCCAAAACCATTTGGAGTTAATGTTAACACGGGAAGATTTACAAAGTTTGTTTTTCTCAAGCATTTTTCTCAATGGTTCGCCCAATAACATGCTCATGATGTGCATCACAGTAGAGTTAATTGATTACTGGTCACCATAGTCTGTGGCTGCAAATTCGCCGCAGAGGACAAGGTAGAAGTTCAACCCGTATACTAAATGAAGACTAAAGTGCCACATTTAACAAAAGAATATTAATCAACTGCGAGGGCTATGAAATCCAGAGAAAAGCTTGAAAGGTGTGGGCTGATAAGTTTTTCAGGGGGCATACTACACAACCCATATAATGGGCGGGTGAGCCTTTACGTAACCTCTCTTGGCAAAATCAACTTCCATAAAACTGTTCTACTACTCTAGTTTTGGACTTGATTAAGTCGGTTGGGTATTTCATCGTTCATATGAAAAGCATCACGCATTTTGTGTAAACTGGAGTGCTGGGATAGGGGAGTTCGTCTACCATATTGTGCCTAGTGCGTCTACTATTGTCTCATGGATGATATTCTGCAAAATTTGATAGTAAACTGAATAGATAAGAATATATGACGTAGGTGTGCTTCACTACTGACGTAACGTGGTGTAAGGGGTCTGAGACGGATGCTTATGTGATAGCCCAAGCATCTACTGTTTGATCATGTTAGGGTATCCACTGGCTCGTTTTCAGAGAATTCTGAGACGCGGTGAATTTTCGGTCGGCTCCAAACGTTTTTGCAACCTACGGAATGTAACCAGCAGCTCCATTAAATGAAAACGGAAGCCTTTTGATCCGTTTTGCTGCAAAGGTGTGTGGACTGTCAGACGCTTCCTGGCCGCTGGTGAGTCGCGCTAGCCAATGCACCATGGTAAATGCGGAACAGTTTTATTTGATGCAAAGCAAAGGCAAGCAAAAACAGCCCCTTTTCGCACTGATGATTCAGGATGTGGGGAATTGTACCAACGATTATTGCAAACTGACACTCATGTAGAACCCCTCCCTTGATTTATTCATGACAAAGACTCAAACGCGACGGAGGTTCCTTTCATACTTTTGAACTGTTGGTCCTAACGATCCTTGAAATGTTGTTGTGAGGGCTCACAAAATAATACTAGAATTACGCCAGTGCGACATTGTGGGCCAGCTCCTAGAAGACACATGAATCTGGGTGATTTGTGTTGATTACTCCTGAACAAAAACACACTAGGGTCACCAGCTCGAAATGGACTGTAACTGTACACAAATCGGACAGAGGTGGTGAAGACACCCTACTGTTCGGTGACGAGAACGACAAGGAAGATATCTACGCCAAAGGAAATAGGTAAACAACAGGCCTTCGGTCGCCGTGGAAGGTATGGCACTCAGACAAGATGGACTTGTTCAAAGAAAATTGCACTGATTTTGTCTCTCTTCGTTTCTAGTTTCCCATACCTAGTAAAGGTGGTGGAAGTAATTCAAGCTAGCTATCAGGCTGTGACCATTTTGAAGGTCAGTGACATGTGAAGCTATGCAGCATAGGAGGATGGAGCCCATCATAAGTTATTACTTTAAGGTTGGTGATTCTTTGGTCTTACATTGTTGATTCGCCAATGCTGTCGTTCGGTCAGTCAATGATTCCATTGCGTATGCTAACCGCCACCGTGATAGGTTCCTCCACTATGTCAATCGATTGGAGGTGTTACACGGGGAGCAGAACCAGTACCAACCCATCCTGGAGTTCTTGCATAGAGCGGTCGGACAACATCTGGGTACACCTTGTAACAATGAACAGTCAAAATGAATGCAAACATGATGCTGAGTCAGTATCAGAGGAAAACAAATTTCACTTAGTCTAACATATTAGGACTCACTCTGGCCTTAAGCAACACCCAGTTGTCGGTTCCAATCTTTCTGGCCAAGAGCACGGGATTGGACTTCTCCCAGTGGTATCGACTGGATGAAAGAAGAACGAAAATCAAGTGAACTGCCATTGAATAAACGATGTTGTTCACCGAAATCATTTCTTTGGAACCTTAAATGTACACTGTGTAGTTAAAATACAGAAAAAAACGGATTTTAGGTTGAAGCCTGTCAGGCTGTTGGGATATTTGATCACGCTTTATTCTTCCAGCACATTTGTCTCTATTATGCGCGAATACGGAGCACATTTGTCTCTATTATGCGCGAGTACGGAATACCAGTAATTTTACTAAGGTATTCAGACAATACCAGGTATCAAACGAATTGGTGTACACAACAAGGGTGTTCAGATTGTGGAACATCATCAAATCGGCGGATTAATTAGTACCTTCAAGTCCAAAGAGTGGAATTGATCTTTACACACGTCGCGTGGGACTCGTCCAGTTAATCATTTTGACTAGCGCTTTCCGTCAGGGAAATGAAGTGAAACCAACGCGGCAAAAGTGGAAATTTCACACTATCTGGTGGCTGGATTCACGTTGGAGATACCATAAAGTATCAAGCATTAGTGTACCGTGCATTAGGGAAACTGTAGAGCAAACTGTTAATTCCTCCGGAAATGTTTTTGATGATGATTTTATAGAAGAGGATGTAAGCGACAGACCGAAATGTCGTACATTCCTTGTTACCAAAGAGCTGAAATGCGACAGCACCGACATAGCTGCCTTCAGCAGAACTTGGTCGATCGATCAATATAAGCTTTACCACATGTGTCAGTGAGTCCCGCTGATGTCTTACCAGAAGGATGAGCGAAAAACTGCACGTATCAATTATTTTCACATCCACCCGTTCAACTGATCGTCTGTTCCCCATGGATGATCTCAACGTGTGAATGGATGGTGGGAAACTGACACGTAAAGAGATAATAGGTGAAATCTTTATGTGGTACCATGAACGCAGGTGGTCAGCGTCTACTAATACACGGTTCACTGCTGGCGGGGAGTTCTCCGCTACTTAGGGGTATCCGAATTTGGGACACAGATATGCCCTAGGTTGTAACGTTGTCCGATAAAGGAATCCCAAGGTAAGTGATGCGCAGTGCCGATGGTAATATGAACCGGTAGGATTCAGAGTGCGATCGACTTTGAAGAAGCCGCACCCTAGGATGTGGTTTTCATGCACCAAACTTAGCAGCAGGCAGCTGTTGGATCAGTCAGCATTGCAGGAGCCCCAAAAGGCTACAGTGCCCAAGGTATCTAGTCCAACTGAATCATAAACCCGAATTCCAGTTATCACTTGAACGGTTATACTGTCATACCACGAGTTGACAGTATGAGTGTCTGGTAATGTGTTGGAATATTGGTAGCTCGGGTGTATTGGTTGGTAATTGATCAGGTGGCTGTTGATCTGTTCGCCGAGCTTGGCAATTGATTTGCAAACGTTTCGTCACCAGTGCGCTGTTGTGACGAAACACCTATACTGGAGGAATGGGCGAGTGACATAAAATATCTGATGTTGGAAAGCTGATGCTGGTGTTCATTGTAACAGCAATGTGTTGACCTGATCGGTGGCTTGCCGATCGACGACATCATCGCCAGTGGATAGTAAATAACATCACGCTCGGTACTGCGAAAATGCCTCTGATCTAGCTACTCACAGGCACTTAGCATGCCAGCCAATTGGTGCAAATCCATGAAATATTTTTTCGCTGATTTTGACAGCGATGTAAGTTCCCGGATGGCTTTAATATCTTTAATGTCATTAGGGTTATTCTACTCCCCTCCAAATTCACCACTGTTTAAGCGCTGCCACACCATAGGCTGAGTAAAACAAAGGGGCAGTAAACCGGAATATCTCGCAGAATCCCACGAAAATATCCGCCACTGATGAGTCAGCTTCTGTCGTGGGTTTGAGCAGTTTCAAAATCATATCGCTGATATCTTACGACACAAGACTCTGTCAAAAGCAAACTTTGTTCTCATAATCGTACGAAATAGCTACTAGAACTTGGAAACACGGAATTTAAATGTGTGTAATAAACGGAAGTGGACCTTTCTGTGTGATAGACTTGGGCTGACGTGGCTCATCTCGAGTGTGACTTAACAGCTCACTCTGTGAGGCCCTACCGATCTCTGTGGAAAGCATGTTATCAATTCCCGGTCAAACTGTCAACATGATATCAGTATACAAAGATAGGGTGGAAGAGAGAATTGTAATAGTTTCATGAAGGATGTTTAATATTCTTCGGTAGGGCTTCTCTATAAATCTGAATATCCAGCATCCACGCACTGTTTCGGAATCATTTGTTTGAGCGACGTTATTGATATCAGCTGTGGTTGCTTGCTTGCTCTTGTATCGGTTTTTTAGTACTCCATAATAATGGCAACATATATCAAAACTAACCGCATAAAATCGATTTCGTTATCTGGATGGACGTTGGTTGCGTAGTTACCTAAAGGTTCCTTTTGAAATGGTCGTCATTTGGTCTGAATAATTTCAAGATTACATCACTGATAATGCATTCCAACTGTGCTTAATATCCATGTGATTCTCCTCGAATGAAACCTCCATCCACAGCATATAATTTATCCTAATGGAAAGCATGTAAACACTTCCTAACGGAACTAATTAGTGGAGCTTTGTCTTGTTTCGAGCTAGGCGTATGCTGGAAGTGGTTCGCCAGTTTGTCCTCAAAACCGTTGCTACTGAAGATTGACTCCTTGCTGTGTTTGAATAGTTTCAAGGTCACAGTGCCGACATTTTGCAACACTAGTTTCAGTCGCCTACTCTGGAACTATATGTTATCTGGAATTCTGCCGTGCGATGACAGAAAAGGAGTGCTTAAAATTTACCTTGGCTTTGATGATTTTTGGTTTGGTTCTATTCCAAACATCCGATAATCGATACTTTAATACCATGGCCAGGACTAACTAGTCTCACCGTACCTTCAATGATTGGGCGCGTGGAGGAATACTTGGTAATAAATCGGACTCTTCTGCGGTAGGACGCACAATACCGTGTCCAACGACTGTCAGTTCACAACCTTATTGACAAAAGCTCTGGGGGAGTAGGCCATTGTCTGACAACATTCACCTTTGGTTCTCCTCGCACCTGATTAAAGGAACGCGGACTGAGCGTTTGAAATTTTATTTGTTGTCACGCGCGGTGCACGCGTTGGCTTGCTTACCTTTGCAAGGGATGCTGGTTCATCCTCCTGGTGTTGTCTTACCAGAACACAATACACAGATAAGTTTATCTAATCAGGTTTTAAGCACTCGAAAGAGCATCAGAGCTTTTATTTTCGTTTGAAGCTTGTTTAAATCAATAGTGTCACTTGTGCCGAAATCTTCTTGTGTCTTCGTTTTTCTAAAATAAAATCATATTTTCTTTCTTTTTCTCCAGTGGCCGCCCTACCTAACGTGGAACAAGACAAGGTTTTCTGACGTGTCTTGCCTTACGCTTGTGTAGTGTATTGGTTTAGGCCTTACAAAAACCATTTGTTACCTGAGTGTCGCTTTTATGAAGCATTCAAATGTTAGGCATAAAGCATAAAGCTTCAACCGATAGAGTACACCGGTCTTTAACAGGTTTGCACCCACGAGGCCTAAACGCTGCTGTATGATTTCAAATACGGAAATGCTTTGTCAACCATGAAACCAGACAGAGTTTTAGAGAGGGAGTGCCCGCCCCCTTGTTTAGCTCAGTGTGTAATGTGATGAAGACTTGATGATGACAAAACATAAGTATGAAGAAGACATATTAGGTTTCAATTCAAACAGATTCAACCTAAAGATAAAGAATTTGGTGGTGTGTGCTTGTAAAATACGGTGGGTTGATAACGTCTGTAGACAAATTTCACGTGAAACTGTTCTCAGACCGAATATCCTACCAAGTTACAAAACCCTCAATGATTTCAAGGTGGGTGTTACAGCGGGGTTCATTGCAAGCAAGGTTTTCTCGAATTATTTTTCCTATTTCCGCTCATCCTTTAGTAGCCCATGGAAAGTTTTGGCACTGTTTTCGTGGATGCCAGATGCTAATTTGTGGCATCATAGGACACAAATTACTTTAAGAGAGCTCACTGTATACTCTGGGCTGTAACCGCATCCGAGCACCGGTTACCAGTCATGAGAGGTGAGAGTTCTACCGATATCCCTCTGGTTCAATTTGGATACAACTGTACAGCGACACCGAAAAAGACGAACAAATTTGTAATCCAACGTAGTAAACAGCATTGCTAGAGGCGTGTCAAACCGAACTAGCAATCAATGGAGAAAAACATGGTCACTTAGGGAGTGCCTCAGGGTCACTCTCGTGGTAACATATAAATTAAAAACTGAAAATCTTTACATAAAACACTATCAAATTAGCATATGCACTCAAAACGAAGACTTGTCACGTAAAATTAGGTGGGACAAGAGAGTGCATTTGTCTCAGGTATTGGCAGCGAATTCAGCAGAGATTTTTCAGTCACTAAGATGCAAATAAAACACGTTTATTCAACCATCATGGCAACAAAATAAATCATTCTGTATCTACTAAATCAGATTGCGTCTAGCATGTCTTATATTTTTTCATACGGGTGAATGTGTGGTTTCATTTTCGGAATTTTGAAAGTTTCAAAATCTACTTTTATTTGTGACATTTTTTCAGTTACATTCTTCAACTATTACCCGTGAGAACACATTTATTTATGTTGTTGCTACTACATGGAATAGTGAAAGATGGGTTGCACAATCAAAAATCAGCGGAATTATCCATAGCTCTCTTTTGTGATACCGCCTGTCTTTTCCACAGCTAGAAAAATATGCAATCAGCAACCAGGTTGTTTTTTGTAGATGTCTGAAAGAATTGGTCTCAGCATTGTAGCAGAGTTTAGGCTGTCCGAAAATACTGCGTTTTCTGTTCCAAGAACTTAGAGTTTGAGGGGATATTTTAAGTTTCGAGAAACTATTGTAGTTGGACTGATTGTTATTGTTAATGTGGGAAAGCATGATGCTACCATCAGGAACTTGCTGCTCTTAATCGCTTCCGTTCTTTCGACAGACTGCAATACAGACGAAAGCACCGCCGGAACAGGCAACACCATCCGTTAGTTAAAAAAAACTTCCAGATTTTATCTTGATTGCTATGACTAGAATAAGCTTTCCGGTGGGGATACGGAGTAGCTTTTTATAGCCGTTATCTCTACGAACCAGGCAGAAGCTAGCATTAGCAGAGTTCATCCGAATGATGTGCATTTATATGTTGATTCTTCCTCTTGTCTGGTGCACCAATTTTCGCTCACTTTATTCTTGCATGCATTGCACTATCAGTATCAAGTTTCCGCAGCCGTTTTTGCATAGCATTATCAGTGTCTATTCCAAGATGCTTGGTGAAATTGTTGTGCACTTGTATATCTGTAAGTAAAATTTATTAGATAAACAAAACTTTCCCATAGAATTCCGCAGCATTTTTTCATCGAAATAGCCAACAATCTTGTTTTTCTTGCATAAACCTTAATCGGACAGCGTTTTAGGTTCTCTCTTTTCTCACATCCACTGGTGTCGGGCGATGTAATACATGTTACGAAGCTTCGATTGTGACCGAAGTTGAACTTTTTTGTTAGACTTTTAAAACCACCGGGTCTCTAGTATGTATGAGACTACGTCGAAAAGGGCAAAATGTATCCAAGTCTAATACGAGCATTCAGAAGAGCCGCGTTTAAAGTGTGTAAATGCGAAAATCTGATAGATAGCTGTGTTTGATATCTGAAATTCTCTTCGGAAAATTCACCGTTGATTTCCGCTCACTGGTTAGTCAAGGACTGACACATTAATTTCTGCCCCCATTCATAGTGAGCCGCCTAGTGTTGGGCACAGTCAGCTCGTCAATTACAGGTTTTTGACAATAACATACATGTCAATGTGAACTGGTTTTGTTCACATGGGGTGTTTGCAAACCGAGTGCTGCAACAGGCTTTTCATCAATATCTTCATTAATCTCTTCCGGAATGGCTGTCGAACACAGGCGCTTTGGACGGAGAGAAATAAAATTTTCTGTCCAACAATCAGGAATCGGTTGTTGCAAGCTCTCCAGTTCGCGGGTAATATGATCTTCGCAAATGTCAGGCAGTGCATATTGCTTGCCATTTGGAAAGCGGATGTTTGTTTCCAGTCCCATAGGACACGGAATTTACTGTGGTAGGACAGATGAATTGAATTGTTCGGACGCTTGTTTCATAGGCCTTGTTTCAACCGAGTGAAATTAGGCGGCATTTTCGACTTACAAGCCGGGGGAAATCAGCTGATCTTCAGTTAGAAATGAATGACAAATACACTTGACTAACCTTTGTGAAAACTACTCGCCTATTACATACGGATTAGCTGCATCAACTTGTTGATGGAGGTCCCTATTCGAAGGCTTATTGTGGATGTAGACTGAGTAGCGTATATAAAGCACTGAAATCAAGGTTGTTGTAAGTTACGTTGACAGAACTGCAAAAATTTGTTTCTGAAAAGTTATATCCTGTATTTGTGATAACTTGCACATTCACACGCCCCGAACAGATAGTTGTTGGAGATATATGTAACTGGTCAATAAATTCATTCCACGAGCAGCATTGTTCTCCGTTCTCAATTAAGTGGCACGAATTTGCTAACCCATTTGCAAGAGCCCGTCAATTGTGGAAGACAGGAGTAATGAAGTGCCAGCCAACATGGTCCGTTTCAGCTATTCATCCAAGTCACCAAAAGTTTTAAAATCCAAATCTAAAATGCTGCAGCTAATCTTTTGGAAGTGCTGAGCTCAATCTTACATTGAAAAAATTTGTACCTCAGGGTCCTCTTCTGAACAACATTAATATTTATGCTTATTCGTTTTATTTGATTTCTTATCTTAACTTGATCTTGGACCTGTTCCTGGTACCAGTAAAGGATGTGAAAAATGGCACTGAAGGTTCGGTTTAAAGTAAAGTAAAGTAGAGTGAGGATATCCTATGATTGTGTTTATTAGAATGTTGGGTTTGTGGGGCAACATGGAGAAACCGGAAGCGCGGTCTATCATTACACGATAATCAGAGAAATATCGAGGCAAAGGTTGTCTGTGTTCGGTGAGTGTACGACGGAATGGAAGACAATGGGTGCTATTGTTTAAGAAATCAAAATCTGTGAAAGGTTGAGAACAGCAAAGGTTGCGATGAAAATCCTCGGCATCACTCAAGGTCGACAACAGGATCATCTGGGATCCCACATATACGTGTTTACCTATAGGTGAAGAACAGAGTAAGTAATCCCGCTGTTCGGCTTTGTTATCCGGCACTGATGCGGTTACACAAGAATAGGAATTAATTAATTCCAATTCCGAATGCTGTAACTGGCATCAAGAATAAAAGTTTAAAAACACCCATCGAAGTGACTGTCACTTTGGAAAAATTCAAAGTTGTCTAATCAATGCTCGACTGACCGTGTACAATTTTTAGCAAATATTCTAGATTCTTCGCCTGCTTCAAGTAAGCTTTGTTACCGATGCTATTTTCACGGTCGTCTATTCAGTTTCGAGCCCCTGAAAATAAAGTTAGAGCTACTGGACAGGATAAAGGCGGTCACCTATCGTAGGCTATTAAAGATTTCACTTAACTGTTCGCTCGACTAATGGAAAAGGTCCAATCATTTTAAAAATCCCTCGACAACGCACCTTCCAGCAAACAGTGAAGTCAGACGATTCAAAATAGGGCTGCTTGTCGGGATGGGGGAATGATTGGATATTCAGGAGAGGACAGTTTAGAAAACAAGTAAGGTTTATACCAAGAAGAATGTTGAACCGGTCATAGAGGCCTACATTAATCTACCCAGTGACTATGACAAGCGGGTTCCCCCATGACTTACGAATCCAGAAAGCCAAGAATGCGTTCATTGTTTAGATGTTAAGTAGATAAGAAAACACTTCCATCCTATTGACTGATTATCCTAGTGCATATGGGTCATTTGACCAACAAATTTGGCGATGGCTACTGATAGGGCGCTTGCTGCCATTTGGTAAAGTTTCTCACAAGCTACCTTAATATACCTAAACAATTTAAAATAAAATAACATAGGCAATACATCTAGGAATTGTGTGCTTTGAGACGCTCCAATTTTACGCAGAATAACCAAGTGTCAAGGGCAATTCTCTTGAACTGTACTTCTAACGACAAAGGCTACTACCATTTAATAGCGCGAGATAGTAGCTGCAAAATTCAGATTGCGCGCCGCTGTATTAAGGACCTGGCCACTCCATATATAATACCCATGCACCAGCGTAGTACATCAGAGGAGAAATACGTATCCTTCTGAAGTGACAAACAGAACCAGTTACAAGTTGCATCATCTCAAATTTAGAGTCAATTTAGAGTCTTGGAGTGTACAACTGTTTTTTCGTTTTTGTGGCCTCATATCAAATATTGCGGTTACATGCGCTCCTCTTCCCGTTATAGTTGTTAGATATGCACAAAAGTTGTTTCAGGTGGTCGGTAAATATGTTTTGAAAATGGGATGACTGTGTAACATTTGCAAACATGTACTTCATCTTAGTTTCCAATTCCCTTGGAGCCGTGAGTCCCATATCCGTTTGGTTGAATGAGAGTGGTGGGTGGCTGATTTATGTTCTGCTGAAGACCAGTACGAAAACACCGGCAGGTTTGATACGTACACACCCGTCTGAGGTGCTTAAATCAAGTAAAATACTCTTCTCTGGATTCATCTGCACTGCGTTCAAATTGCTCATTTCGGCTACCCTCTATTGACCTCGTGCAACGTGTGTTCATGTCTAGTTTTGCAAACAGGACATCCATTTGGCGTGACATCTAGCCTTGGCATACATCCTGGTATGAATTCGGTTAATACCTTCAAAAAGGTCGAAATAGTTGGAGGAAAATCACGCTCTGAGGTGCTTAAATCAAGTCAAATACTCTTCTCTGGATTCATCTGCACTGCGTTCAAATTGCTCATTTCGGCTACCCTCTATTGACCTCGTGCAACATGTGTTCATGTCTAGTTTTCCAAACAGGACATCCATTTGGCGTGACATCTAGCCTTGGCATACATTCTGGTATGAATTCGGTTAATACCTTCAAAAAGGTCGAAATAGTTGGAGGAAAATCACGCTGTGAACTGCTTGGACCACGGAGGTGCTGTCGGCCCGGTTGACAAAAATCATCCTCAAGGATGGTTGTGAAAATGGAATTTCAGTAAGTTACTAAAGAAACAGCACTAGATATTCACCAACACTGGGCTGTGAAGCACGAACAGCTGGAAGTGGGCCATGAAACCCTAGACAGGCTGCTGTCTCATGCTGAAAGAATGTTGCGCACAGGCTTCTGTGTACATCGAAAACTGGGTTACACCCCCGTTTCCGGTGCATATAGAGGAGCCAATCTACACATGTGGCCGCATGATGTGAGTCCTGTGATTAAAAGATGAGCGGCACTATATCCCGTCAAAGTGCGAGTTAATCAGATTGCCGGTCAGTCGCTCGTGGCCAAACGGTTAGATGTCCCAAGTACTAGCCAGGAGGTCGTGGGTTCGAGACTCTCCGCAGTTGTGTGAGATGCACACAGCCGATAATCCTCATTAAGGATAAAACAGCTATACGGTGATTCTCGGCTTTTCAGTATAGATTGACTTCACTTCCACGAAAAAACAACTAGAACCGCAAATAATTTTATTGAATCAGTTGACTGATAAAGAGGGTGGGGTGAAGATTTGAACTATTCTTTTCCTCTATTCCACATCGATTTACCAAAAGCATAGATGAAAACAACGGGTGTGCCCAAATACAGCTTTATTCAGTGGATGTCGGAGCTGATAGAATTACATTTGGATAGGGGAATTTACCCCAGACTTTGTCTGTCTCGGACAAACCGAAACAAACATAGAATTATCTTCCTGGCCGACCTCGGGGCTGTATGAATGGAAATCTCATTGAGTTTCTGCGTCCCAATAAATCACCAAAGAGGCCACGTGCACAGGGCTATTTTGCGTTTTGGTCGGCAAACTCACAAGAACGCTCGTTGCAAGCAACCTTATTTCTAATGTCTAAAATGTTTTTGGTGTTGCAAGACCGAGGACTATCCCGCACGTGGTTCGACTAACTAACTTTTGTTTTTCCACCATCGCTGTGTCCACAGTTTTAGTGCTATTATCTGTCCGTCTTTCTCCACCATTTCAATCTCCATTTACCAAGAAACCCCAGGCAGAAGAATGTTTGCGACAGAAATAATTTCACTTACCGAGAGAAAGAATCAGCGTGAAAACATCTGATATTCGAGTGATCCAGATTCTAGATTATCAAAAAAGCACAGCTGACGCGCCCAACCCTACTGTAACATCCAGTCACGCAACCATTCCCAATGACGTGACTTAGCTTACTGAGTTGCTCAAAATATAACACTTCTGAACATGGTGGAATCGTGTATCGGAATGGCTGAAGCTGGAGAGTGAGGTAAGGCAGCACAAGATAACATTATAGTTAGCAGGCTAGCATTGGTAAATATTTCGCTGTCATGTTAGAACGCATCCTCTCCATGAAATATACTTCGTTTGGATTTAGACTATAATTCAGCTTGAATAAAGGGTTCGAATATTGTTCATATGACTGAGAAATCCTTTCAACTTTAGATGTATGACATCAGTGAAAACTACCTATCTAAATGATATCTTAAACTTTAAAGTCAATGGAAAAGTTCTAGCAACCAAAATTTCATGTTCCAACTCAAGATCTTATTCTGTGTGAGCAACATCGTCCGCCAAAACCGGATTCCGAATTCCACTTTTATGTGAACAAAAGTGCTGAAAAAATTCCAGATCCAGTTTGGCATGAAACAAAAAATGTGATTAACCCGCAGAAATAAAAGTTTTTCCAATTTTGTCTAACAAGAAAGTGGATAAACTTAACCGCAGAACAAGAAATGCCCAAAGAGACATGAAGCTGCGTAAATCATTTTCATAAAGGAAGCTATTCACAAGGTTGCTGACAATTGTTCAACAGCCCACGACCGGTTTCGCCCTTCTTGGGGCTCACCGGGTAGGCAGAGTCCCCGAATTTCCGTCAACCTAATGATCTACTTGAACACGAATTGAACTGTTTTCGAGAAATACACTCATATGCAAATCAATTTGGTTTTCACGGGAGACTCAACTGAATCC